GACAGAGAGGAAGGACCAAGGCTTTCCTGCCATCTTGTTACAGACTCTGACCCCTCATGCTTTGTTTGGGCTCACCTTCCTCCAGAGGACCCATTTCTACACTCAGTTCCTGGGACTGGAGCCTCAATCGGGATTCTCAGTGCTTGGAGTCTTTAGCCCACATACTCTATACTAAGAGAAACTCCAAAAGGATTGTAGATTTAAATATAAGTCAGGAGAGTGTAATGACGCATGCCTGCAAATCCAGCAGCACTCTGGAGGCTGAAGGGAAGATCAAGGGTTCAAGGCCAGTCTTTAACCTTGGCTACATAGTAAGACCCTGTCTCAAAAAACACCTCTAATCCCAGCACTGGGGAGGCAGAGGCAGGAGGATCTCTATGAGTTCAGGGCCAGCCTGGTCTATATAGTGAGTTTCAGTATAGTCAGAGCTACATAGTGAGATCCTGCCTTTAAATAGCAAATACAAAGATTAAGTATAAAAATAATTAAAATTAATTCCACAAGTACTAGAAGATGGAAAATTTATTCTATAAAATCAGGGCAGAAAAAATTATTAAGCATAATTCAAACCCCTTAAAAAAGAAGGAAAATTGATAAACTTGACTAATAACATATATAGCATGGCCCAAGAAATAAGCAACAGAAAAGCAAGTGTAAGTAGAAAAAAAAAATAACTGCCATTTATATCACAAAAGCTTTTATGTAAGTCAACTCTAGAACTAAGAAAAATGAAAATAAACGAGCAATAAGAAAAAAGTTTTCCAAAGTTCAAATAGCTTTTAGCCTGTAAAAAGATGGTCAGCTTCACTAAGAATAAATAAATGCAAATTAAGCTTGCCCTCTAATACTGTTTCTCAACTCTGAGGTTGGTGAGGAGCCCACACGTCATTGGCAATGCTCTGGGGACAGGGCCACCACCATGTTGTGCTAGTGTGTGTGTGAAAGGCAGAGCCCCATGGGGGAACTGAGCAATACCTCATAAAATTGCGCACATGTTTATCCTTTACCCTAGCAATCCCAATTCCAGATATACTGGCAAATACACAAAGACAAATTGCAAAAGATATTAATTGCAGCTTTTTGTAATAGCAAAATTGGAACCAATTCAAATATTCTTCAATGGGCAGCTGGGTAAATAGGGTTCTTTACACATAAGGACTATTATACAATTGTATAAAGACTAAAGAAACTTCTCCACAGGCTACTGTACAGTTATTTCTGGAATGTAGTATGTTGTGGTTTGGTGTGGTTTAGTGTTTCCTAGAGCTTTATTGCTGAAATTTAAGCCCTATTATGAGGGGCATACATCATGAGGGTAGAAACTTGATCTACTATGATGTTTAGGGGTGAAGCCTGTGGGAGTGACTTGTAGACAATGCCATTAGGATGGAGCCCCAGCACTGAATCCTGGTGGCTGAATAAAAACAGAGAGATGGCTGGGGCTTTGTCTACAAGGTGGAGCTCTTGCCTAGCATGAATGAACACTTAATTTCATCTCTATATGTAGATAGATGATAATAAACAGATGATAGATAAATGGTAGATGGATGAATGAGAGGCTAGAAAACCATGTCAATGTGCGTGCATGCACATGTGTATACATATGTATTTCATCTCTCCCCACATGATACTCTGCATCTTCTGGAGTTTGACTGGTGAGAATACCAGCATCGAAACTTGTCATGTAGACCAGACTGGCCTAGACCTGCCTCTGCCCTCTGAGTACTAGAGTAACGGTGTGCACCACCATGCCTGGCTTTCCATAAATTCTGAAACACCAAATAAAATAGTAAGCTGACTAAAGTTCATTCATAGTGAGCAGAAATAGCTACTAGAACAGAAGGTACATATGTACGCAGGGAGAAGAGTGGGATGGGGAGGACAGAAAATAACCTTTTTGTTTTAAAATAGCATCAAGTTTAGAGAACTGTCTTAGAAATAATACAAAAACACCCTCATAAATCTCCGTTCATGTCCCCATCTCTACGTCTATGTGGTTAATCTTGATTGCCAACTTGATGAGGTTTAGAATTACCATGGAAACAAATGTCCAGGCAGATCTGTGAGAGAGTTTCCAGATTCGGTCAGCTGAGGTGGGGGACCTACCCTAAATGTGGGCAGCACCATTCATTCTATGGGCAGGGGTCCTGCACTTTACAGCTGTGAGTGCAGTGTGGCCAGCTTTTTCAAGTTCCTGTCACCATCCCTTCTCCACCATGGTGACTGGACCCTCCACTGTAGGTCAAAAAAAACCCTTCCTTAAGTTTGATTTTCTCAGGCATTTTGTTCTAGAAACATGTAAAATAACTAGTAGACTCTCTAATTCTCCCTCCCTTTCCCTCTCCCTCTCTCCTTCTCCCTGTCCCTCTCTCCTTCTCCCTCTCCCTCTCCCTCTCCCTCCCTGCCCCCTCTCTCTGTATCTCTCTCTCTGTCTCTCTCTCTTTCACACATACACACACACACACAGAAGCAATTTAAGAGAGTACAGTACACATTTTATCCCTCAGTATCTCACTGTGTAGTTTCCAAGAACAAAAACATTCTCTTTCCTAACAGTACGGTTTTTCAAATACATGAATGTTGGTATTTCACGATCCATTTCCTAAATTGTCCCAAGAATGTAGCTGTTCTCCCTCCCAACACAAAATCATCGCCTTTAGCCTTCATACCACTTGGAGTAATTTAATTTCCTAATTTCATGTCTGCCAGGATATGAACTCTTTAAAGACATGATGTACTTGTTTCATAGAATCCTTAGTTTGGGTTTTTCTAGTGTTTCTTTGTAAGTTAATGCAAACCCCACAGCCCTGAGTGAAGAAAACAGAATATCATGCCCATCTCATTATGGAGATGGAGACACACTGTAGACACCTGTATGCCATTAGCAATGATAATACTGACCCATGGTCAAGGATGTATCCAGTTTCCCAGAGCCTAGACCTAGAAACAAGCTTTGAAGACCTCTTATTCATTGCCTGCTAGACTGTAGAGCTGCTGGTGGGGTCTCTTATACCAGCTCTCCAAATTCAGTGCTGTGTTTCACATTTGGGAATCTGTGTTTCATGTCCTTAACACACAAAGGAGGCACCATATCGTATAGTGTGTCCAGGTACCTCAGTCAACCCAGGCTGTATCGTAAAGCTAGAGTGGTGTTCCAAGAAACAGTACAGATTACATCTTCACCTGGATCCTGAAGAGACGTCCAAGGAAGCTCTGCTCAGTCAGCGCAGATTAAACATGGCTAACATAGTCTGCAGTTACTCTCCAACCTTGGCCACCACCTTTGTCTTGATGTCACCAGGTATCAAAAACATGGCGTATGGGGCCTCTCCCCTCCCTCCCTCCCTCCCTTCCCCCATCTCCAATAGCCTTGACTCGGGCCCACTCCTTGGATTCCATGTCTGTGGCCCTGAAGGACCACAGTTCCCTAGCATCTCCTCCTGCCTCTTTCCTGCCTTTCTTACACAAAAGACAGCGTCACTCTCGGACTTCTGTCTCTGGTTACTTCCAGTTCCTGAGTGGGTCTGTGAGATGCCTCACCTTCTAGCCATCTGTTCAGTTTAACAGTCCTCAGCCCCTCACAACACTGTAGCCACAGGGTGGACTTCCAGATTGCCCGATACACATGTTGTCATTTGGGGGGCAGGGGCATGGTAGGAGGTGTTGAGACAGGGTTTCCATGTGTAGCCCTGGCTGTCTTGGAACTCACTCTGTAGACCAGGCTGGCCTCAAATTCACAGAGATCTGTTGTTGTTTTTTACTCTTTTGGGGGGGCCCGCCACCCAGCTCTCAAATAAATCACACATGAAGGCTTATTCTTAATTATGAGTGCCTGGCCTTAACTTGGCTTGCTTCCTGTAAGCTTTTCTTAACCTAAATTATCCGGTCTACCATTTGCCTCTGAGTTTTTTCCTTTTCTTACTCCTATATATCTTACTTTCACTCTTGTTCTGTGGCTGGTTGCATAGCTGGGTGACTGACCCCTAATGTCCTCATTCTCTGGCTACTTCTTTTTTTCTCTTCCACATTTCTCCTCCTATATCTTCTTTCTGCCTGCCAGCCCCGCCTATCCTTTCTCCTGCCTTGCTATTGGCCATTCAGCTCTTTATTAGACCATCAGGTGTTTTAGACAGGCACAGTAACACAGCTTCACAGAGTTAAACAAATGCAACACAAACAAAAGTAACACACCTTAAAATAATATTCCACAACAGAGATCTGCCTCTGCCTCTGCCTCCCGAGTGCTGAGATTAAAGGCTCTGCTGTCATTTTATTTACGTGGTTGGTTTATTTTTCTGTTTATTTTGCTTTGTTATTATTGTTGGCGGTACCTGCCAGGCCAAGTGCTCTAACACTGAGTCCCACCCCAGCCTTACCGTGAATGGCCATTTTAGAGACATGTTTTGAGTGTGTTCCTTGATTGGCAGGGTTCCCAACTCTGTCACCTGCAGATCATCAGCTAATAGGTCCTAGGGTCAGTGATGTCACCAGGGATCTAGAACATAAGGGATTCCTTTTACTGCAAACAAAAATACACGTAGCTCTCATGAATATAATCTGCCACCATTTAAAAGATACACTTTCCCTGTGTTGTGCGTCCCCTAATAGAAACTCTGCGGGAGTTGCTCTGTGGTCAGTCCTGGTATAGGGTACTTCCTGAGCACATTGCTGGGGCTCACACAGCCATGCAAGTTAGTCACATGGCCTGGCCTGCAGGAGAGTACTTGCCATACAGTGTTGGGCAGAAATAACTGACTGTTACCACTTCAACAAACCTCATTCTGCATCCATATGATCCTCTATCCTACCACAGAACATGGGCTCACTTCTGAGGGTCAGCTGGTCCCTCCCAGTGTTGCTGAAACCCAGTCAAACCATGAACCTCAGGGAGAGCTTCCTGCTGGGGGCTCTTTGGAATCTTTGGTACAAGGTCCTCATGGGGATGTCAAAGAACCTGCTCAAACTGCCCCAGGAGTCTCACTGCCCACTCTGTGCTGCAGGTCCAGAATGCCCAGCCACTAGTGGACACCCACCCACCCCAGACTTACAGCCACCTCTACCTAAAGTTCAAGAAGCTGAAGGTACGTGCCGCCTCCTCTGCTAACCACTGTCCCAGCTTACAAGGGGATATCAGCTCAGAGCCCCTGGACTGTGACTGGACAAGCTCTTTGGCCTCGTCAAAAGCAAGGTGTCACCTAAGAGGCCAAATGAACTGACCCTGCCCCAATGGAGCTGGCTGTTGACTGTACCAGAACCTTCCCTGATATTGCCCCATAATGGCACAGATGCAGACTGATAACTTTAAGGTGATTTGTACAGTGAAGCTCCAGATTATTAATTAGCATCGTTCCTTTTCATTTCTTGGCCACTTCCAGATTTGTATTTCTTGAAGCGTAGGCCATGGGTGAGAGTGAGCCACACACAGTCATGCATGCAGTGATCCCCCAAGGCAAACTGAAAGTGACTAACATTGTGAGTCAGCTGAAGAGCAGCTGAGCAAACCAGCGCGGCACTCAGTTTAAAAGCAGGGCTTTTAAAGAGTGGCCCCACCACTCTTTAAACCATGAACCTCAGGGAGAGCTTTCTGCTGGGGGCTATTTGGAATCTTACAGCAAGATGGGAGGAAAGACAGGAGAATCCCTGGAGGCCTGTGGGCCAAGGAGTGTGGCCTATCTCAAACAAAATAGACCATGAAGGTGGGCAGCCAAGGATGTCCTCTGACCTCTACAGGCATGCTGAGGCATGTGAACACACACACACACACACACACACACACACACACACACACACACACACACACACACATACACACACACACACAAACACACACAGTGCTGGAGGCTATAGGTATAATCTTTTCCTCCCTCTGGAATTAAGTATACACTTCTTCTGAGCAGCATAAATATCTCCTGAGATAATTTCCTTGCTAGTATGGTCACTGCATGTCAGTTTAACAGGAGACTTAAACGCACAAGATACTATATAGCTCCTTGCTGCTGCAGCCCCATCCCAGTGTATTTCAACTCACAGATGTAGTGGTCACCCTGCTTCTGTCCCGGTGCCCAGGATTATGGCACACCTTGCTAGCTAGCCGCTGCTGATATCTCCGGGGACCTATGGCATGTGGCTTTGAAAAGTATGTCTGGAGGAACCTTGTGCTACTGAGGGGTCCCTGTGTCCACAGATGGAGGAAGAAAGACTCTCCGTCATCGACAGAGACAACTGTCTACTTCTGCAGAGGGTGGCCTCTGCCATGAGAACCAGGGGACAGACTGACAGCAGAAATAACTTCACACACAGAAGGTAACAGAAAGGCTCTTGACATTGGCCTTGGCTAGCCCCAGGCTAGGCCTGGGTTCAAGGGCAGGGGACAGGGGCATGGTGATACAGAGGCAAGGCATGCTTTCTTATCACAAGAGCCAAATTCAAAGTGCCCACACACTCCCTGACTCCAAACTCTCCTCGAGGCTCTGAGGTATATATATAAAGGCACAAGAATGGACCCAGGGTGACAGCTGCCCAGCCACATGCCTGCTGTGTGCCATAGAACCTTCGAAACCACCATCCTCACAAGGACCAGGCAAAGTGGAGGCTGAAGAGCTTCTCATTTCACAGTGGGGAAACTGAGGTACAGTGAAGCTGCACAACAGATTTGGCCAAAATTGCCACCACTGTGGAGGGTGCAGGGTGTGTTCATTTTGCGGAGCACCCGACAGTCTTGCAAAGTGTCAGATCCGTGTCTGGAAGAGACCAAAGGGCTCAGACCTGATGCCTGGGTGAGATCATGGCTGTCCCCTTTATGCTGCCACTGTTCTCTGAAACCTGTGATTTCTTCCAGCTTGGAATTCTGCATCCCAAGAGGATAAAGGGCAGCAGGTCTCCATGTTCCACGAAACCACCCTCTGAACACTCTCATGAGTCCTTTCTCCTCACTCGTGCAAGAGCGGTACTCCGTCCTTGGTAGTCATACACCCCAGGAGACCTCTGCAGTCTCCCCGTTTGGATGCAGAGTCGTGCTGGGGACTGTACAGGGCCACAGCGATGCAGGCCTTCCTGCTGATGCTCCTGGACTTAATCTTTAACCCTTTAGAGAAGTTTCCAGATTCATAATAAGCTAAACCACAGGCAAGCACCAGGCACCCAAGCCGTCAACTCAGGGAAGAGACAGAGGTGCCATGAATGGATCGTTCATCTAGGGGATCCTCTGTTTTAAGGACACAGAAAACTACTTGATTTAGATAGTATAAATACAGCTGGCTAGCTTCATAAGAAAGAAGCAAAAGCCAACATTTTGAGAGAAACTATACAGTCAATAACTAGAGATTCTGTCTTCATTGAGATACATTTGGCACTTGGTAAACAATATCTTACAGTGAAGGTATACCATTTGATGGGTTTGATGTCACACACCGAAGCCCGTCTCTTTAGTGAAGATGGTGGCACACGATTCTTGCCATGAAGATGGGACACACAACCCTTGCTCCCAACTCTTCTAGTGACAGTCAGGAATCCTCATGACAGCCAGGCCCTGGAGGTTGCACCAGATGTGGTTGGCTCTCTTACTGTATGCATGTTCTGCAGAATGGCATTGGTTTATTTTGTTGTTATTGCTGTTTGGTTTTCAAAGGGTCTCTACATAGCTCTGGCTCTCCTGGAACTCACTAGGTAACCCTTGAACTCACAGAGATCTTCCTGCCTCTGCCTCCTGGGTGCTGGGATTTAAAGTGGGGGCCACCACACCTGGCTTGATTGACATTGTTGAGGATGTTGTCGGGTCATCCTTGGGCTGCTGAGTGGCACCCTCTCCTATAGGCCACACTCTGTCCATTCACCTATTGATGAGCATTTTGGTTTGTTATGGGTTGCTACTAATAAGGTTACAATGATCATTTAGGTTAAAAACAAAAAAACAAAAAGCTGCTTAGACCTGTGTCTGCAGAGGTCTACCAACAACTCAGTAGAAAATAGAGAATTCAATCAAGCCACCCTGAGAGAGACCCCCTGCAGGAAAAGGAGGGACGCCTTGAACATGCACCCCAGAAAAATTGATGACAAACATTGAACAAGAGCCAATCATTTAAAGCAGAGGTTCTCAACCTGTGGGTCGTAACCCCTTCAGGAGTTGAAGGACCCTTTTCCCAGGGGTCACAGATCAGATATCCTGCATATCAGATATTTTCATGACAGTTCAGAACAGTAGCAAAATTACAGTTGTGAAGTAGCAACGAAAGAATTTTATGGTTGGGGATCACCACAACATGAGGAACTGTATTAAAGGGGGGGTCGCAGCGTTAGGAAGGTTGAGAACCACTGATTTCAAGGTTTTGTAAATTGTCATGAGGACATGCAACACATGAAGAAACATTTAGTCCAAAGTATCTATTGCAGCAAGGGAAGAAGCCACAGTTTTTGAACTGTGTCCCACCCCAAGTTGGTTCATGCAAGACCCACCTTAGAGGTTGTGTCGGAGCTAAGGCTGGTTCTACACACCCGCCGACCCACCCCATCCCCCCCCCCCCCATGATCTCTCTAAAATATGCACCTCTGCCTGGTTTGTAGCATTTAGCACTTTCAAAACAGACTAGACTCTTCATACCTCTGTCTGTCATGCTTCTCCACATGGCCGCTGGGCCTTCCTCCCCTTCTTGCTATCAACCCTCCTCTCCTTTCAAGACTATTCAGCACTGCCTCCTGGCTGCCACCACTCTTCTCTATCAGTATGACATCTTTACCTTGTGAGCTCAGTGCCCACTCCCCCCAGTAGATAAAAAGCATCCTGGTATATGGATGGGGAGCAAGGGTTTGTTGAATGTTTCTCAATGGGAAGCAAATGAGAGCTCTGACATTACCCAGAGCCCAGCAGGCCTGATGATCCACGGGCTCCTTTTGTGAATGTGGAGTGAGCTTTCTGTTCCATAACTCTTGGCTGATGAAAGAATGTGTGTATTCCTTCCTGGAGTCTAAACAGGAAGACCAGAGAACAGGCGCACATGAAAGCACAGAAACAAAACAAAGTCGTCCTGGAAAGACTCCCAAACTCAGAGCCCTGGTATGGAGCACAGAGACCGTGGGAGGACTGGGTCGCCGCCGCCAGACGTCCCTGCAAAAGCAGACGCACCTGGAGGAAAGGTACCTGCGGTTCTTGTTGTAAATATGCAGCTATCTAAAATTCTTCACTTTGTCAGATTCATCGCACACAGATGCACTGGGTCTTCGCTGCCTGGTGCCTTGGGTACACTTGTCAGTGAATAGATAGCTTGGGTGGTAAAGGGCATAGTGAAGCCTGGGCACTTCTCCTCCAGGGAATTCACCCATCTCTCTCTCTTCCCAGACTTACAAGGAGATAAAAATGAGTTCAGCTGATTGGTTACAGGTTCAGGAGCTGGGGAGAGTTTGGTGAAGATATAACTTGGCCAGATAGTATGCTTCCAAACTCGTTTTGTAAATACCTGAATTAGCTGTTCTACAAAGAATCCAGGACAAGGAAAAAAAACAAAAAAAAACAAAAACAAAAACCTACAACCTGGAAGAGTTTGCTAGAAAATCGTAACTTTTCCTTTTCTCCTAACCCAAATCTCTGGCAAGCTCATCACTCTGAATGAAGGACACTCTAATTCCGACATCATTATTTTTACAAACATCTCAATGAATCAAAGAAGTTAGGGGTTTTAAATCTTCACTCACTGTCCTTATCCATGATGCTGTTTTCAAAATCAAGTCTATTCTAGGGAAATGTGTAGATACCAAACAAATAGTAAGAATTCCAGGACATAGAGCCTGCCCTGATTAAGCCCCAGTCCAAAGATTCCACCCCACAGACCCCTTCCCATGACACCTGGTCTTTTAGTCCTCACTGTGCCTCTAGGGACTGAATTTGGCTCATATTATTTCTGGTCATATGACCTTCCTATTATTTGCCTCAGCATTTCTTCTAAATTTCTGAGGCATTAAGACAAGTATTGCAAAATGTACAATAAGAAGCAATTACTAAGTAGCAAAACACTAGGAAAATTGAGTTTGCTTACTAATTGACATAGAGAACCTGAATGTTTTAGTTCAAACCTTGATTTTAATTACGGAGCACTGGCATTTGCTGTTGTAGAGAATAAGGCACTGGCAGTATGGGATGATTGCTTATGAAGCAGTGCTCCTTCTCAGATGTCATAGACGTGATCACTGGAGCTATTTGTGCATACTTCTATTTATTAGGTGGACCTGTTTGTTCACACAAGCATGCTTTCTGTAAATTGCCCATTTCATTCAATCACATATCATAGAAATCATTCAATGCCAGGACATAAAGGTCTTTTCTATGTGCCTTTTTAGCACTTAGTATTTTTGTACATATATACCTTAATTTATTTATACAGACCCCAAGTTATAAAAATCTGATTATTTTCATTATTCTAAGTGAAACTGTGATAATCACCATAGTGCATGTATATCTGTAACTTTCATTTCTAGATGTAAAATTGTTCAATTGAAAGATGGGCCCAGTAGATACCACTAACTTACTTTCTAGAACATTCTAGGTACTGCCCTCCATTCTCGGTACAGAGCATTGTTTTCTCATACTCTAGCCAACATTGGATGGTATAGATATTTTAAGATTTTGGACTATGAATTTCTGTTCATGTCCTTTTATCTAATTCCCCTGGATGTTCTTTAGTTATTTTCAATATTTCAGTATTTACCTTTTTTCTATTGTTATTGTCACAAGTATTCTTTCTCCCACACTGAACATGTCGCCTGGGGTTATATTTTAGTGGTAAAATCTGCCAAGTTTTCCTCTATGGCCTCTCTTTAGTACTCTTCTAAGAGTGTGACAGTGTTTTCCCATATTTTTTCTTAAATCTGTAATAAACATGGAATTTTTATACATTGTGTAAATTTGTTATCAAAAGATTTTAATTTTTTTTTTTTTTTTTTTTTTTGGTTTTTTCAAGACAGGGTTTCTCTGTGTAGCTTTGCGCCTTTCCTGGATCTCGCTCTGTAGACCAGGCTGGCCTCGAACTCACAGAGATCCGCCTGCCTCTGCCTCCCGTGTGCTGGGATTAAAGGCGTGCGCCACCACCGCCCGGCGATTTTAATTTTTTTTAAAGACAGAATTTCACTATGTAGTTCAGGCTAGTCTTGAACTCGGATCCTTCTGCCTCAGCCTCCCAGTTGCTAAGATTACAGGCATGCATACCCTGCCTGGCTTCAGAAAAAAAAACAAAAAACAATGCTGAACATAGTGGTGCACACCTTTGCAGGGTGAGCTCTGTGAGTTCGAGGCCAGCCTGGTCTATAGAGCAAGTTCCAGGACAGCCAGGGCAGTTATACAGAGAAACCCTGTCTTGAAAAAACAAAAATTAATTAATTAATTAATATTTAAGAACCCACTTTAAAAAAAATTAGATTGCTATCTCTGCTAACCTTTATTTACGTCTCATTGTTAACGTTTCTGCATTGGTTTTATTTAAGGTAGCCTTTAAGGACAAAGATGAATTTTGCTTTTTAGCTGAGTTCGGAGCTTTTACTTGCTAAATACTATGTTTGCTCTCATTTCTGATTCTTCCATTAGTTTACACTTTGCTATTCTCCCGATCTTTTCCTATTGTTGATTTTGAGGGATTATTTTTCGTTTTCTAAGGAAAATGTTTAGAAAATACTTGGAAGTATCACTCCATTCAACCCTTCCATGTTTGCATGGACCGTCTCGCTCTCCCCATAAAAGGAATTGATAAAGCTGATGACCAAGGGAGATGCTAAGAGAGAGACAGAAGGGAAGGCTATTCTGCTTGGAACCGGTCCCCTGCAGCTTCCACCCACAGTCCACACTCCCTGTAGGATGTTGCCAGCTTGGCTCACGGGCAAGTAGAGCCTTGCAGGGGCTCCTGGGGCCCGCTTCAAGGGCAACCCCCACCTCCTCTCCATCAAGCCCCACCTCCTCTCCATCAAGCCCCGCCTCCTCCCCATCAAGCCCCGCCTCCTCTCCATCAAGCCCCACCTCCTCTCCAGCATTCGGCTCTGGGCCTACGGGTGCTTTGTCAATGGCTCTTGACTTTTCCTCCTCTTGAAAGACAGGAAACAGCTGCCACTGCCTTAGCCTGGGGTCGGGAGGCAGCTTCCTGCCAGGAGCCTTTCAGTCCATCATATGCATTTCCAGGACCTTCACTCCGTATGTCCATGGGAGAGAGTGAGGGACCTAGGGCTCCGGGCTGCAGCCACCCCAGCCCTAAGCCTCTTCCCAGTTTTGGGATGCCTTGCTCTTAGGTGACTTTGCTCTTTGTTGTTGTTGTTTTGGTTTGGGTTTGATTTTGTTTGAGTAAGAGTCTTATCCTATAGTCCTGGCTGGCTCGGAACGTGATAGACCAGGCTAGCTTTGAACTCACAGAGATCTGCCTGCCTCTGTTTCTCAAATGCAAGGATTAAAGGCATGTGCCACCATGTCTGATGGGTGCCCCAGCCTTTTATAGAAGTAAAATAATATACAAGTAAAATTATGTTACCTGAAAGTGGCAGATGTAAAAATGGAAAGGACTCCATTTTCTAGGATTAGAAAGCCCAGAAGGCACCTTTCTGGCCGACCCACTTGGTCTGGAACTTCTTTTGGCTTTCTACAAACTGGACTTATCTTGAGCCTCTCACGGGCGTGCCGGAGAAGAGCACCCTCTCCCAGCCACTGCAGCAGCTTCTCCCTCAGAGCTGCTTGCTTCCTAACTCCAATGAGAGCAAATGCCGTGCTGTTAGGAAGGTATCTACAAGATCATCTAGGAAAAACCATTGGCCATCCTAGTGCTTCCTGGGGCCTCTACAGTGCACACACAGACACCAGAAAACACACACACACACACACACACACACACACACACACACACACACACACACACGATCACAATGAGAAAACTGAACAGATGAACTACCCCTCAGTGGTGGAACAGTACACATGCTCCAAGTTCTTCAAGACAGCTCCATGGTTTCAGACAAACACTCAGTTCCCAGCACACACAGTAAAGACAAATAGGCCTCAGCTCCTGCACCCATGTCAGGGTTAAGTGAGCAGCATTTGCAAAGGGACTATAAGGTTCCTGACTCTGGAAACAACACATTGCAGCTTCTGTCCTTATTCACATTCACCCTGCTAGCTGGAATGGCAGATGACAGCGTGTGCTTGCGAGGTGTGCGGAGAAACTAGGAGGCATAGTGGTGATCCACTTACTTTGAAAACACTTTGCGGGGCTGGAGAGATGGCTCAGAGGTTAAGAGCACTGGTTGTTCTTCCTGAGGTCCTGATTTCAATTCCCAGCAACCACAGGGTGGCTCACAACCATCTATAATTTGATCTGGTGCCCTCTTCTGGTGCGTAAGCAGAATACTGTATACATAATAAATAAATCTTTAATAAAAAAAAAAAGAAAGAAAGAGAGAGAGAGAGAAAGAAAGAAAGAAAATAGTTTGCTGGTTCCTCTAAAAATTAGACAGCAATTCACACCTAAGGAGAGAAGAGAATTGGAACTGCAAATCAACATGAAACTATACACACACCTGTGTCTGGAACAGCATTATTAACAATAACCAAATGTCCATAAACTGATGAGTGAGTAAACAAAATGAGCTACATCTGCACAATGGAATATTATTCTGCCATAAAAAACATGAGGTCTGGCTGGCATGCTACATCATTGCTGGAGCCAGGTGCAGAGTGGCCTGTGTATGAAATGCCCAGACAGGCAAAGTCTAGTGGCAAAAAGACCAGTGGCTATTGGAAACTGGGAAGGGACAATTGGGGGAAAATAGTTATGGAATATGGTTGGGGAGAGTTAGTGATTAAAATGTTCCCAAATTATACTGTAAAGTATTCACTTTAAAAGGTGGGTTTTAGATATAGAATTACTGTATTCCAGTCAAGTTATTATGAAAAAAAAAAAGACATGAGCAGCATGGTGGCACACCCTGGGAGGTAGAGGGCAGTAGGATCTGGACTTAAAGGATAACCTCAACCACATAGACGTTCAAGGGCAGCCTGGGCTACATGAGACCTTGTCTCAACAAACAAAAAGCCAGACACAACAATGAAAGATTACCTAGTACATTCTAAATAACAGACTGTCAATTGAGGTTCTCTGTCCACTATGCAGTCTAAAGAGTTGGCATGTTTTTCTGTTCCTGCCTGAAAAAGATGACTGTGGCGGCATTTTTGGTCCCACAGGAGCTGAAACTGATGCTCAGCAAGGACACCGCTTCATCTGGATGCCCAACCTGAAGGGATGAAGGTTCAGAATGCAAACACCCTAAGAAGCCCAGGGCCCAGGAGCTCTGAGGAGGCCTTCCTGTGCTCTCCCTGGGGTCAAGCTGGCTTCCGTGTGCCTCCAGGGACAGCCATAAGGGCTGTGACACAGCACTCATGACCTTCACCAGATGACACAGCACAGCTATTTATTGCATTTCTTGGACTGATAACCAAAAAACAAAACATGCGGAGTAACTCTGAAAGTGACTGGATTTTGAATTAGACTGTCTTTTCTAGCTATTAATACTTTTTCTGAGTTACCATGAGTTTGGGTGTGTGTGTATAATTCCCTTAAAAACTCTGTGACTGTCATTTTACCAAATATGTAAATAAATCAAATTTGAGAACCTTTCACCCAGATCCAGAATACATGACCCAAAAAATAAGGACCCAGCGAGTCTTGCGGAGCACTTAAGGAGTATCTAAGATTGTTCAACCTGCGTATTTTCCATTTTCAAGTTAGATCACATTGAAACTATTCTATGACTAGTTTTTCTGCCTCAAGAAGTAACTAAGAAAAATGGTGCACACTTTCACCTATTCACCCAGCAAAGTCCTGTGCGGGCGGGGCCTCAGAAGTGAGGAGGAAGCATGCTCCATGTAAGCTGGTAGCAGCTCTTTCTGAGGAGACATGTCTACTTATCTAATTATTCTATGAATGTGTGTGTGTGTGTGTGTGTGTGTGTGTGTGTGTGTGTGTGTGTGTGTGTGCAAGCTCATTTCTTTTCTTTATGCCCAAACCCTTTAACGTATACTTAGACATCAGTAGCAAGTCTAATGCTGGCTCCACAGACTAGAAAGAACCTTCAATACAGAACCTCAGGGCCTTCGGTACACCACACAAACACCATCCTTAAATCACGGAGCTTGGGGTCAGGCAGGATGTGGCCTTTACCTCTTTGGCTGTGTTGCTGGACACTGTAAACTTCTCATCTGAGCCACAAGTACTGCAGGAGTCTGCCTCAGGCGACATACACGTGGCCTGTACACACTGTAGCTATGACCCAAGCTCCTTCTTAACCATCTAGATCGCTGTCAGGTATGACAGAAAGGTGACCTCTTAGCAGCTTACAGGCGTCACCTTTGCACCTGCTCCCTAAGGTGGCACCTGCCTGTGTCCCTGCTGCCTCTGCACCCTGGGGAACAGAAGGTTCCCAGGAGCACTTGGTGGCATTGTCTGCTCTCAGTGCAGTCTGTCACCAAACTAGAAGAGGTGCCATTTGATCACATGAAGACTCTTCCTGTTCTCCTCCTGCCACTCCAGAGAGTGGGTGGTGGATAAGAACCGCCAAATCATTCCATAGAGCCAAGGCTGAGGCGAAGCCTTCCCATTACAGGAGGACTTCTGCTCTTTGCCCCTCTGAACTTTTTTTTTATATAATGAAGGATTTTATTCGTTTTCCTTGCCCACCACTTTGATCACTGCCTTATCAGTCAGCATTCCTCAAAGAATTATTCAAGGTTGGCCTCTGTCTACAGCAGGATGAGGTCACCATAAAATAATTTTCTCACTTTAGGCTATGCAGTACACCTAACCAGTCAGGGTCCTAAATGCGAGAAGACCTTCTGGGGGTTTGATTGGCTCAGCTGAGTGAAGAACCCAGGCCTCCCGGTGCTTAGGCTGTGTGCCTTCTTCCCCTTCCAGACACGACGGGCATGCCCAGAGGTTGGACTCGCTCAAAAGAGAAGCAGACACCTATGAACTGAAGTCCCGTCATGCTGAGAGGATATTGCAAAACAAAAAAGCCTGGAAAGTACATGAAACAGCGGGGCAGAGCCTAATGCTCAAGATGGCCGGCACATCTGCCCCGCCTCACACAGGCTCGGCAGCTCAGGAGGCATCTTTCTGCCAAGCGATGCCATCTCTTGGTTTCTAGGGAGCAAGATGCTTCTTATAACAGTTTGTCTGTTTTCTCCATTGTATCTAGACAAAACATGGTAGACACATGAAAAACACTTCTGTAAGAGCCAAATTAGTTTCCAGGTGCCCAACAAGTAGGAAACCACAGCTAACACTGACCTTAGAAGAGCTCCAGAGGAAGAACTAGCAGCACTTCGGCAAGACCGACGGAATACGCCATTAAAGTCCGTCTTGATTTTCAGATCTGTGACCGGTCTTCGAAACAACTTTTCTTGTCCGTGGCCTAACCGAGTTTCTGTCTGAGGACAAAAACAATGGTGTAAACCAATGGCAACATGCGACGAAGATCTGAGAGCCCACAGAGACCTTCCAAACTTCACGGGCCATTACCACTGTTCTTGGCTGCCCATCAGAACTTGATGGTAATGCCCTGTTGCTGAAGACACCAGGTACGCTGGTCACATGACATGCAGAACTCTAGCTAGAACTGAGATGGGAGCTTCCTCCCCACTGGTTAGCTTTCATAGAGCTAGGAGGTGCTATGCAGGCTGTTGGGGGAGAAAAGCCACCAACAATCTTACCCCGTTATAGAGCTTGCGAGCCACAGTTAGGATCTGCCAGGCAAGAGTGGCGTGACTGTTATAGGGGCAACCAACTGCTTTCTGATTGAACTGAGTATGCGTCACAGGACAGAACTTGCTCCAGGTGCTATAAACCTTATCAAGAGCCTGGGGTCAGGGGTCATAGGCCCTAGTAGGGAACCCACTACAGCTGTTGTGTTAAATGGCCATGTTATCAAACTGCCTTCAACGTATGTTTCTATCTACAGATTTGTGCTACCCTTGTCCTTGTTCAGAGAAATTTCTTACTGCAACAGGCAGCAATGGAAACAGAATCCTAATTGACCAAAGTGCAGAGAATGAATGATGGTGGCGTGCGTATCCCTAAACAGAACATGTACATCGATTACTCCTAGGTTCAGGGAGCATCATAGGAGGGGTAAAAATAATGTGAGAGCCAGAGGATGGGAGGTGTGCAGCAAAAAGGCATTTTTGGCCATGACATAACTGTACTCATGAACTTACTACAGCTGTGGTTATCTACACAAGACCTGCATGAGATTGGGCCAGGCAGCATTTCATCATGGATAGGAAAGGGGCCTCTGAGGCCCCAGCCTTCCCTTAAGGACTACTGGGAATTTATGGCTGCTGGGAGTGTTGTTTTCTTTCGTGGAGTAGCTCCAGTGAGTAACTTCCCGTGTGTGCTCATGAAAGTAGCTCTAACTCAACAAAGTGATTCACATGCAAAGACAAGACATGAAAGGAAGCTGGAGGGATGGCTCGTAGTTAAGAGCACAGTCAGTTTTTCCAGAGGACCCGGGTCCTATTCCCCGCACCCATATAGGAGCTCACAACCCTCTATATCTCCAGTTCCAGGGGCTCAAACACCCTCTTCTGACTTCCATGGGCATTCTGCATGTGGTTCAAGATATGCATGCTGCAAAACGCTAACATACACAAAACAAAAATAAAATAAATCTTTAAAAAAGAGGAAAGTAGAAAGATGTGTTAGGAAAGACAATTTCAGTAGGAGAGAAAGAGGGATAATAGAGGATAATGGGGGAATAAAACCCCTCAAATAAATATATATATATATAATATATGTATATATGTATATATGAAATTGTCAAAGAATCAAAAATGTTTAAAAATTTAAAAAATATATCCAATCACCAAGTGCATCATTAGCTGAATTAGGGGCCCTTGGCAGCATTAGATATGGGCTTTTGTGAGAGTCTTCAAACTATGAAATAACTTGAGATAACTTTAGATTTCCCATGGATCTTCATGGGGTCATGGTAAGGAAGCAATATGGTAAGATCATCACCTAGTCTTCATGCAAAGTCCCATCTTCATATCACAGCTCAAACCTGATGGAGTGCAGTGGGGTGCCAGCCAAAACCACGCTGTTCGCTTTGCTTTGGGTTTCTGTCTGCACGTCTGCATGGTAACTCACACCATTGGCACAATGTACGCTTTCTGTATAGTCAAGAACAGAACTCCTCTGTCACACAGGCTGCCTACAGTCCTGGTAACGGTCATTGGGGCTTACCTCCAGGACCCTGCGGCCTTTGACTATAGTGATTCCATCTTTGCTCAGAGGTCTAGTCGCCTCATTTTCCAGCAGAGTGGACTACCCCACCCACTCTGCCTTCTGCACTGTCACGCTACAGTCTACAGGGAAGAGGGCTCCCTCCAGTGCAGACACTATCCACAACCTGCCAGGAAGAGAGAGCAAGCACATGGCAAACCTCGCTCAGGACAGCCCTTCAAACATTCAGTATGTCTCTGTTCTTACCTGCCTCTATGTGTCTGCTGTTCCTCTCTCTCTTTGCCATTTGACAAAAACTCCCTCCCAATACTCTTGGTAGTTCTGTTTCTGCCCCCAGCTTACATCTCAAACTTAACAAAACCAAAGGCTAATGCTAAACCGGTCCCTCACCCTAATTAGCAGTTCAGCCACCGTATTTCCTGAACAGGGTACCTTGTGGGTCCTCCACCACAATGGAGTTGCTAATAAAGTATGTGCTAACAAAATATAACAAATATCTGAGGTGGCAATAGTGGGGGTTGGGTGAGAGTCCACTGTTAATAAATCAGTTTTTATCCATATTACAACTCAATCACTTGGTATATACCAAATTTTCCAGGCTTAACTCCTAATACAGGTGTTTATGGCAGGTATTGGGTGTGTTTGTATGTGTGATTCATGTATGTCATGCGTGTGTTCTGTGGGGTATTTATGTGTTGTGTGTATTGTACACGTGTGGTATATGTATTACGTGGTTTATGTACTGTGCGGTATGTGTAGTGTGGTGTGTGCAGTACAGAAATGTGTGGTGTATGTGTCAATGTGACTGGTGTGTGTCTGGCGTGATATGCATGCTTAGTGAGTATGTGTTATGTAATGTATGTGGTGTGGGGATATGGTGTGTGTCAGTAGATGTTGTGTGTCTGTAGTATGGTGTGACATACATGTGGTATAGGCTATGGTCTATGTGATAGGAAAAATACGTTGTGTATGGTATATGTGTCAGTGTATATGGAATGTATTTGTGGGAAGGTGCAGTGTGTGGAGTGTGGTATATGTGAAGGTGCACATAATATAGGTAAGGATAGTGTATACGGAGTATGGTGTGGGGAGGCATGGTGTGGGTGGTATGTGCAGTGAGTGTGTGCAGCATGAAGTCTGTCATGTGTGGCATATTTGATGTGAAAATTTTTAAGGTGATCCATATGTTATGTGTGGAGTGTGTGAGGTGTGGATTTGTGGCATGTGTAGTGTAGAGAGTATGATGTCTTTGTATGTGGCATGCATGGATTTAAGGGTACAATTTATGTCTGAGTACACCTCAGTGATTTTAAGTTCTTTCTAATAGGACCCAGGACCACCAGCCCATGGGTAGCACCACCCACCATGGGCTGGGCCCTCCCACGTCCATCACTAATTAAGAAAATGCCCTACAGGCTTGTGTACAGCCCCATCTAATGGAGGCCTTTTCTTAATTGAGCTTCCCTCCTCTCAGCTGACTCTAGCTTGTGTCAAGTTGACATAAACCCATCCATCACAACTGACCCTTTGCCAACTTGACAAATGCAAACACATCACTGTTAAGCCACAACCTTTCCCTTTTCATTCATCCCCAAGATCTCACACTAAAAACACAAATAACTTTAAAAAGTCCCACAGTCTTCACAAATTCAGACACATTCAAGTTCAGTCTCACTGGGCCGTCTCGTCCAACCTTGCTGTGATAGGGTGTGCCTGGTCTTGTTGTGACATGTTATATTGTGTTCATTTGATGTCCTGGGAGAGCTGCTCTTTTCTGAGGGTAAGCAGAGGGGGTGTGGATCTGAGGAAGAGAGGAGGTGTGGGGAAAGTACTGGTGGGAGGCGAGGAAGGGGAACTTTTTTTTAAAAGTTCAGTCCCTTTAAAATATCCAATCCCTTTTAAAATCCAAAATCTCTTTTAAAAGTTCAAAGTCTTTTGACTATGGACTCCTGTAAAAATCAAAATTAAGTTAAATACTTTCTTACTTCAGGAGGGAAGAACCAGGGCACAGTCACAACCAGATCAAAGCAAAACCAAACTCCCAACAGTGTGAATAATGCAATGCCCAATGTCTGGGATTCACTCACAATCTTCTGGGCTCCTCCAAAGGGCCTAGGTCACTTCTCTGGCTCCGCCCTCTGCAGCACACACAGCTTATCTTTCAGGCTCCAGCTGGTTCCAGACAGCTGCTGCTGTTCTCGATGGTCACCCCATGGTCCTGGCATCTCCAAAATGCTGTTGTCCTCTGCTGCAACTGGGCTGCACTTTCACCAATAGCCTCTCCTGGGCTCTCTTCAGGGACACCAATCCTGCCACACAGTGCCATGCCTCAGCTGCTCTCCATGACCCTTTCACACCTTCAAAACCAGGACCACCTGGGTGACTCTTACACTACCAAGTTCAGCTGCCAGAACAAGGTACAACCTTGGCCATGTCTAGAACACAGCTTCTCTGTGCTCTCAGGAAACATTCCAGAAGATTTCACCTCAGTGATGCTGTTCTCTTCTTAGTCACCGCTAATTTCTTAGCTCGAGCTGATCAGCATCAAGTCTCCCAGGAAAGCAAAGGTTTCACCTTAGGAGTTCTGGTGTCTTGTTAATCACAGCTGATTCTTCAGCCCCAGCTGACCAGAACCACAGGATCTTAGTTCAAAATAACAAATGGCCCCATAGTGTCTTTTTATTTATTTATTTATTTATTGGTTTATCGAGACAGGGTTTCTCTGCATAGCTTTGCGCCTTTCCTGGATCTCGCTCTGTAGCCCAGGCTGGCCTCGAACTCACAAAGATCCGCCTGGCTCTGCCTCCCGAGTGCTGGGATTAAAGGCATGCGCCACCCCCGCCCGGCCCCATAGTGTCTTTAAACTTCCCTCTGAAACTTCACAAGCCAGGCCCCCACTGTCCGCACTGCCCTCAACATTCTTGTCTTCCAAGCTCCCACAGAACAGCTCCCTGAGATCTCAACACTCGTGGCTTTCCTAGTCGAAAGTTCCAAAGTCTTTCCACAACCCTCTCCAGAACCCATGGTCAGGTCCCTCGCAGCAATCCCTACTCTTCTGGTACAGGTTTGTCTTAGGGTTACAACTGCTGTCATGACCAAAGCAGCTGGGGGAAGAAAGGGTTTATTCAGCTCACACTTCCACATCACTGAGGAGTGCTGCTTACTGGCTTGTTCCCCGGGCTTGCTCAGCCTGCTTTCTTATGAAACCCAGGACCACCAGCCCAGGGATGACCTCACCCACAATGGTCTAGGCCCTCCCCATCAATCACTAATCAAGAAAATGCTCTACAGGCTTGCCTCCAGCCCATTCTTATGGAGGCATTTTAATTGAGGGTCCCTCCTTTCCAGTGACTCTAGCTTGTGTCAAGTTGATATAGAATTATTCAGCAGGATTTGGACGTGTATAATCACTTTGTGTAATATAATACCTGTGAGGATGTCTCTTTGGGGTGTGGGGTACATGATCAGTATGTGTAGTACAGTATTTGGGGCTATCCCTGTGTTGTATATGATCAATGTGTATGGTATGGTATCTAGGGGAGATTTCAATGCTGTGTGTTTGTGATCAGTGTGTAGTATGGTATCTGGGGGTGTCTATGTGACATATGGATTTGTATGATCGGTGTGTGTAGTATGGTATCTGGGGGTGTCTAAAAGGCATTTGGATTTGTATGATCAGTGTGTGAAGTATGGTATCTAGGGAATGTCTATGCAGTATGTATGATCAGTGAGCAGTACTATATCTACGTGTAAGTGGTTTGCCTCTGTGGTGTATGGTATGTATGACCAGTATATGTAGTGTGGTATTTGTGGTCAAATGTCTATGTGCTGAGTGATGTGTATAACCATATGGTTGTTTGTGTGTATGAGTTGGTGTGTGTGTGTGTGTGTGTGTGTGTGTGTGTGTGTGTGTGTATGTGTGTGCGTGTGCGCGTGTGCTCTATCAGTGCTAGCATAGTACCTGTGTGTATGGAGGTCTCTGTGGTATGTGATGTGTGTAATTAGTGTGTACAGTGTGACATCTGTGTGTGTGTCTCTTTGTAGTGTATGTGATCAGTAGGTAGAACTGTATCTGTGTGAGGTGTATTTGTGATGTGAGTTATTGATGGGCAGGACCGTATCTGTGGGGGTAGGGGTATTTGTGAGGTATGTAATCAGTGAGTTGTACCATATGTGTGGAGGGCCATTCTGTGATATGTGTGTATGGTATGGTATATGTCATGTATCTCTGTGTGAAGGTCTTTGTGGTGTGTGTAATCAGCATACATGGTGTGGTGTCTGGGGGGGCAGGTATCTTTGTGAAGTTTGTGATCAGCATGGCGGCAAGGGTTATCTTTGTGTAAGAACAGTGTATGTCCTATAGTCTCTCTAGAGGGTATGTTTTGTGATGTGTGTGATCAGTGTGCAGAATAGAATAGTGTCTGGGGGTTGTCTTTGTGTGGGAGTAGTGGTGTGTGTGATCAGCATGTGTGGTGTAGCATCTTCAAAGGGGTTTATCTATGATCACTGCATAATACTGTATCTGGGGGGCACACCTCTGTGGTCTGTGGAGTGTGGTATAATACTGTGTCTGGGGGGCACACCTCTGTGGTCTGTGTAGTGTGGTATATGTGTATGGGAGTCTTCGCGATATGACCAGTAAGTGTGCCGTGGTATCTGCGGGGGAGCAGGGAATACCTATGTGGTGTGTTATAAGTGTGTGTGGTGTGTGTGGCAGTGTCTGTGGGGAAATATATATATATGGTGTGTGTGGTCAATAAGTGTGGTACGGTATTTTCGAGGTGTACTATGTAGTATGTTTGATCAGGGGATAGTCTTATATCTGGGGAGGGTCCCTGCGGTGTGTGTTATCAGTGTATGTACAGTATTTGTGGAGTGTCTATGTGGTTAGCTGTTCCATATATATTTATGCCTTTTTCAGTGATGCGCTGATGTCATTTTAGAAAATCATTTAGCACTGCTTTCCACCAGCCATAACGTGTCTTGGCCTAAAACGTCAGCTGCTCTAAACACCATCCACTTCCCACAACCAATCCTTGGTTTTGCATCAGTGCAGGAAACCTCTCAGTGTGGTCCGAAGAACCTGGCCTTCAGGCTCTATGTCCCAGCCAGGTCTGGTTTCTTTCTGTCCCCAGAATGCACTGGGTTTTCTATCACTCCCTCCTTGGATGGACACAAATAACCCTTCCGTTTTCCATTCTGTTATTCCTATCTCACTACCACACACCCCATTATTTCATGTCTGTGCCCTGTGGCCCATGACCCAACCCCCTGAGAAGCTTCCTTTTTTTTTTCGATTCTGCAGAGCTGTAGATTTTGTGGGTCACCACTCCTGGAGAGGACTGGCACTCACAACTAAAAATTCCGTAAGAATGGATGGATAACGACACCTTATATTACAAAGTGCTTTCCTGAATTTGCCGTCAAAATCAGGACTAGTGACGACTGACTGATAACAAAGCTTACTTAGGTGGTGGTGTCACTCGGCTAATTTGATTTGTTCAGACAGGTAACCAGCTTTTTAAAAATGCTTTTCTGAACTGGCTTTTGCGCCGACACAGCCTCAGGGGTGACCAGACTGGCGGTCTTTGCAAATCTGCTGTGAGAGCATGTATACAGCACCCATGATCATCATCATGGCTTATTAGCATAAAAGGAGCCCTTTGTTATTATTTGGTTTTGCTCTTTGTTGGGGGGTTTTGATCTTTTTTCTTATTGGGGGGCCCGACACCCAGCTCCCCAAAAAAACACACAGGGAGATGAATTCTTACTTATGAATGCCTGACCTTAGCTTGGCTTAGTTTCTAGCCAGTTTTTCTTAAATTATCCTGTCTATCTTTTGCCTCTGGGCTTTTCCCATTCTCTTACTTCTGTAAATCTTACTCTTACTCCATGGCTGGCTGGGTGGCTGGGTGGCCGGGTGGCCGGGTGGCCGGGTGGCCGGGTGGCTGGGTGGCTGGGTGGCTGGCCCCCAGAGTCCTCCTCCTTCCTCTCTTGCTCCTAGATCTCTCCCCTCCCAGATTTCTCCTTCTATATATCCTCTCTTCCCACCAGCCCCCTTTTCTCTTTTTCTTTCTCCTGCCTTGCCATTGGCTGTTTAGCTCTATTGGGACCATCAGGTGTTTGAGACAGGCACAGTAACACAGCTTCACAGAGTTAAATAAATGCAACATAAACAAGAGTAACATACCTTAAAATCATGTTCTACAACAGCCCTTTGCTTCAAGGAAGGCACTGTGCTGTGTCTAGACGGTGTGGCCTGCTCAGGCACTGCCGCAGTTCCATTGGCATGCAGTTTCAGGACGGCAGAGGAATGAGGAGACTAGTACACTCTGCAGGATCCCCACAGCCCAACAGAATTTCACCTGGACAGACAGCTACCACCACCCCACCAGGGCATCATCCCCAAGAAGTGTGGAGAGGAAAAGCTGCCAGCTAATCCCCAGGGTCCAGGCTGACATTCCTGAGCATTGTTAGCTACAATGTCCTCTCGGCTGTGTGTGTCATCAGGTTAAGCCCAGGAAGCTTAACCCGGGGCTCGCATCACAGGAGGGACAGAATATTCTGGGACCTGTTGGTAGAGGTTTTAGTATAGTCAAGAGCACTCCGTGTGCTGTCAGCGGTGACTCGGAAGCACATGAAGTCCCGATCCAGTCAGCCCCCTCGTGCGAAGGCTTGCCCACAAGGCCAGTGCCCCCACAAGAAGGCAAGAGCACCCAACAGAATGGTCCATGGAAATGAACTGAGATACTTTTCTTGTAGGGATGCTGGTCTCTTTGAAGCATCTTAAGATTTTTGAAATGAGGTGTAATGAAGACACCTCTCATCCCAGATGAATCTGGGATTTTGTATCTCTGTGAGTCTGAGGCCAGCCTGGTCTCCATAATGAGTTCCAAGACAGCCAAGGTAAGGTAGAGGTTTTATAATGAAACATTTAGAGATTCCGTTGTATCCAATCCAGTCAAATGTTAGGTGGTCTCAATGAAATCACGGGAAGGACTCTGTTTGCCACTGTCGAAATCAAGAAGGGGAAAGAACTGCGTAATCAATGTGCTCTCAAGATATGTTTTCCTTTTGACTGATGTTTGCAGCAAAGTTAATTGAAGACAAATTCGTTTTAAATGTATGAACTTCAAACATATCTAGGAAATGTCAGCATGATTCAGCTACTAAGGAATTATACTCCAAGCTAAATTCACCATTTAATCTTGCCTTTTCAAAAGTGAATTGGGGACTGGAGTGATGGCTCAGCAGTTAATAGCACTGAGAGTTCTTTCAGAGAACAGGGTTTCCATCTCAGCACCTGCAGGGTGGCTCACAACCATCTTCAACTCCAGTTCCAGGAGATTCAATGCCCTCTTCTGGACTCTGTAGGCACTGCATGCACATGTTGGAATGGGCATACATGGAAGCAAAACACCCATACACATAAAATACAAATACAAATACGAGTCTGACCTAAAACATTAGATTACATTTGTAATCTTATCCATTACTTATCAAATAAGAGGCAGCTGGGACACAGGGTTAATTTTAAATTTCGTAGTGAGGGTCTAGAGATGGCTTAGCAGTTAAGAGCACTTGTTGCTTTCACAGAGGACCTGAATTAAATTCCCAGCACCCACTGGGTGGCTTACAGACATTTGTAACTCCAGTTCCAGAGGATCCATGACAGTTCTGGCCTCTGAAGGCAACTTCACTTGTGTGCACTCAATACACACACACACACACACACACACACACACACACACACACACACACACTTAAAATACTAAAAATAAATGTTTTTTAAAAGAGTAATTATTGCAGCAACGAGAAAAGAAAATAAGACAAGACTTTTCTCGATTTTCAGCTGTAAATCTGAAATGTTCTAGGAATCTCACTAGAAATTCTGTTTACAGTATGAAAGTGCATGTCCTAACCTCCTTTGGAAAATTGTAATCCCATCTACCACACCTCTGGAGTCACTCTATAATCTTACTCATCACAAAGAGGAAAGAGGGGACTGGAGAGATGTCTCAGCAGTTAAGAGCACCTCAGGACCCTTCCAGTAGGTCCTGAGTTCTATTGCCAGCAACCACATGATGACTCACAACCATCTGTAATGAGATCTGGTGCCCTCTTCCGGCACGCAGGCAGGATACTGTATACATAATACATAAATAAATCTTTTTTTAAAAAGGAGGAAAGACAACCTGGGAAAGTTTCTTAGCAACCCTTCGAGATGTAAATTGAGAACCACTAACAAGGTATTATATGGTGAGCACTAAGAGGCACTTAAGTAACTCTCTGAGAAACCCACACTGGTGTTTCCAGGTCATTATTCTTTCTCTACATGCCTTTCTTTCCATTTTGAATAAATTGGGACTCTGACTCTTAATAGCTCGTCCTGAAATTCTTTTCTGGATTGAAGCCAAGGATCCAGTTTTTATCTGGCCTGAGGTCTGGTTAAAAGAATTGAGGTGGCGCCGGGCAGTGGTGGCACACGCCTTTTATCCCAGCACTCGGGAGGCAGAGGCAGGCGGATCTTTGTGAGTTTCAGGCCCTCCTGGTCTACAGAGTGAGATCCAGGACAGGCACCAAAACTACACAGAAAAACCTTGTCTCAAAAAAAAAAAAAAAAAAAACTGAAGCTGTTGTGGGCAACATCACAAAACTATGCCTTCATCCCTGCCACCACCAATAACCTGGTCAACTCCTGCCTGACTGAAGTTCTTCTTGTCAGTCTGATCACTGACATTTAGTCCAGGGAGAGACAAGCACAGTCAGAACAGAGACTGTGAATGGAAGTGAGTGGGTGGATTGTCAGGAGTCCAGCTTTTCTCTCGGACTTGTTTGTAAGAACAATTACTTTCCATATGAATAACATTACTGATTACAGTATGTTATTGTTTGTTTTTACTCTTTCGGGGGACCCACCACCCAGCTCCCAAATAAATCACACACAGAGGCTTAGTCTCAATTATAAATGTCTGGCCTCAGCTTGGCTTTTTTCTTACCAACTTTCCTAAACTTAAATTATGCCATCTATCTTTTGCCTCTGGGCTTTTCCTGTCCTCTTACTTCTGTAAATCTTACTCTTACTCTATGGCTTGCTGTGTAGCTGGGTGACTGGGCCCTGGAGTCCTCCTCCTTCTCTGGCTACTTGTCATTCCCCCCCAGATTTCTCCTTCTATATATTCCCTCTGCCTGCCAGGCCCACCTATCCTTTCTCCTGCCTTGCTATTGGCCATTCAGTTCTTTATTAGACATTAGGTGTTTTAGACAGGCACAGTAACCCAGCTTCACAGAGTTAAACAAATGCAACATAAACAAAAGTAATACACCTTAAAATAATATTCTACAACATTTCCCTCTTTTTATCTAAATAAAAATAAAGGTTTTAACTTTAACATAGTAAAACTACATATAATAAAAGCAATTATCAAGTAAGAATTACATTTACAATATTCTATCCAATTGTAGTTAGCATACTCAGAGAAAATAATGTATTATCTATCCTATCTTAGTGAATACAAAGTTTTATAGCTAATTTACTTTCTATCTAAGGAACACTGCAACTGTAAGTAGCTAGTCTTTAACTCTATCAAAGGCCCCAAAAGGATATAATATTACTTGAGTAAACAAAAAAGTTCATTGCAAACAACTTCCGAAACTCTAGAAATGACAGAGACATCTGACTGCCTGGACAGTCACCCAGAGTTCCTCTGCAATGTTGGGCATCCATCTTCAGCCTACAGGCCCATACTATCTGGCAGACTTTTCAATGAAGCAGGAATTTTGAAAGACTGTCCCACGTATATTGGCAAAGTTTGCCAGTCACTTTCCTCTGTGTCCTGCAGAATGTCTGGCAGTTTCTTCTATGAAGCAGGAACCCTGAAGAACTATCCTGCCTTGTTTTGGCAAAGTTCAGCAGTCACTTTCCTGTGGGGCCTGCATGTCCAGTTTATACAACATACTGTCAATTAGTCCAGGCAAGAGCATCTTCTTGCCTAAATGGCTAGCCTTGCCACATTGAAAGCAAACTCCATAAGGAGTTTCTTCGATGCCCATCATCTGTGAAGTGAATTGTTGCTGCCAGGAACAGATGTGTCTCACTGTCATGAAAAACCTTAGGTTAACAAAACATTTTAAATGCCATATTCTGTAGGTCTTTGAAAGGGTTGAAAACCATTTATCTATCTAAAATATATCTCTATATGATCTTATAAACATACCTAACATATCTACAAATTTGATTGTTATGGATGACTAACTACTAACCTACATTTCTTGATTATCTTGAATAGTTTATAGTAATAGCTTTCAAAAACTAGAACTTTTCCTTACATTTTTAGATGAACTTGCGTAGGTACAGTACCTTAAACAAGAGCAGAAACATATATACAGTGTAAAAAATAACTTAAATTTTTATCAATATATTCCCCTAAATGATAACTGTTAGCATTTAAGCATTACCTGTCTGGCCCCTTGGGAATCTTGCCAGTAAGCAGCCAGTACCTTGGCCCCCTCAGGGTCCTGACAGCGTTATCCTACATACCGTTTGTGCATGCGCCAAGCCCCCTTTAAGAGGTGGGTGCCACCCACCTTTCTCTCTCTCTCTCTCTCCCCACAAGATTGCTTCTGTACCTCCTCTCTTCCCCTTTTTCCGTCTCTTCTCTCTTCCTCTTCTTTTATCTCCAGAGTTGAACTCTTTGTCTCTTCTTCCCTTCCCTCGATAAACTCCTCCACGTGAACGCTGTGTGCATGGTGTGAGTGACTGTGCACCGTGTCCCTTGGCTCCAACTCACCAAGGCTGCCCCCCCTCACCGTTTTTAAATACAACAATAACAAACATCCATAGCCCACAAAATAACCAAAAACCATCCACCACCCCCTGCCCAGCTCTTGGGAATGTGGACATTGTGTTCTCCATACTGCTTCCTGCTGTCTGTGGACAAAGGCATCTTTAGGGTCCCAGAGAGAAAATTTGAGATAATGGCCAAGTCCTGGGAAGACCAGCTATAATCTTTGTTGATGGATATCACCTGTCAAGGTTCAGGAGGTCTCCCTTGATCAAACCTGATCTATATTATTCCTGAAGGAATAAACAGCCTCTTGTCTCCTGTGGGAACAAAAGCAAAAACTCTTCTCCAAAGCACTTTTTGATTTCCATTTGAAAAATACATTTTTTTAAGTTAAGACAGCCCTAAAGTATCTAGCTAGGTTGGTTCAATCTTGCAGTCCTGTTCACAATTTCGTGTCTCTTAACAGCTCTTTTTGCTTATCAACATTCAAAAAAAAATTCAAAATCAACACAATAATATATAGGATCCAGACTCCTTGTGTATTTCCCATCTTACGTGGCTTCTTCTTTTGTATTACTTTTACTCTCTCTTTAAAGACTTTTTTTTTTTTTTTTTTTTTTTTTTTTTTTTTTTTTGGTTTTTCGAGACAGGGTTTCTCTGTGTAGCTTTGCACCTTTCCTGGAACTCGCTTTGGAGACCAGGCTGGCCTCGAACTCACAGAGATCCGCCTGGCTAAAGACTTTATTATTTTAAAAACTATTTGTTTCTTTCTATGACTGTCCATACCCTTTTTTTTTACTTTCTTAAGCCTATGCATGCTGTCAAACACACTAGAACCTATTTAGAGGGTTTTTTCCATCTGGACATCTTTTATTGCATATCTTTTAGCCTTTTTTGATCTTATGAGCAAACTTTAAACTGCTAAGCAACACCTGGATCCTTCATGAGGCTATCTGCGCTGGCTCCACCTGAGGCCATCAGAGGTGTGTGTCCAGGAACTGCATTCAACCTAACTATAGGAAGCAGTTCTTACTAAGTTTGCTGTTTTTTTGTTTGTTTGTTTGTTTGTTTGTTTAGTAGCTGATTCTTTTTTATGTTTTTTATTTATTTTTTTAATTTTTATTTTTATTTTGCAATACAATTCAGTTCTACACATCAGCCACAGATTCCCTTGTTCTCCCCGCTCTGGCCCCCCTCACCTTCCCCCCAGCCCACCCCCTATTCCCACCTTATCCAGGGCAAAGCCTCCCCCACAGACTGAGATCAACCTGGTAGACTCAGTCCAGGCAGGTCCAGTCCCCTCCTCCCAGGCTGAGCCAAGCGACCCTGCATAAGGCCCAGGTTTCAAACAGCCAACTCATGCACTGAGCACAGGACCCGGTCCCACTGCCTGGATGCCTCCCAAACAGATCAAGCCAATCAACTGTCTCACCCATTCAGAGGGCCTGATCCAGTTGGTGACCCCTCAGCCATTGGTTCATAGTTTATTTAGCACTGTTGGCTGAAAAGCAGCACCTTTTAAAGGAGCCTTGCCCTTTTTCTTTTTTTCTTTTTCTTTTCTTTTCTTTTTTTTAGCTTTCTCAGGACCTACATGGAAATTTGGCACACATTGGTATGCCAAAACGTTGTTGTTTGTTTTATTACTCTTTTACTCTTTGAGGGGGACCACCACCCAGCTCCCAAACAAATCACTCACAGAGGCTTATTCTCAATTATAAATGCTTGGCCTTAGCTTGGCTTGTTTCTTGATAGCTTTTCCTAACTTTAAATTATCCTGGCTACCTTTCAACTCTGGGTTTTTACCTTTTTCTTACTTCTGTAACCTTACTTTGTTTCTTAGGCCGTGGCTGGCTGGATGGCTTGGTGGCTGGGTGGCTTGGTGGCTGGGCCCTGGAGTCCTCCTCCTTCTCTGGCTACCTCTTTTCTTCTTCTCCTCCCAGATTTCTCCTTCTATATATCCACTCTTCCTGCCAGCCCTACCTATCCCTCTCTCCTGCCTTGCTATTGGCCATTCAGCTCTTTATTAGACCATCAGGTATTTTAGACAGGCACAGTAACACAGCTTCACAGAGTTAAACAAATGCAACATAAACAAAAGTAAAGCACCTTAAAATAATATTCTACAACATCATCTCATTAGAGTGTTTTGGTCATGGTGTTGCTCACAGCAACAGAAAGACAAACTAGGATAGGTGCCCTAACACTTTTGGCATTTCTGGCCAGAACAGAAGCAAGGAAACTTTTGCCTGCTGGTCAAGGACCAGAACAGAACTGATGGTTTATAGGTCCCTGCCCTAAAACCTCCTGACCAGTTTTCAACTCCAGGTCTCATCACTACTACTGAAAGGAAAAGAGAAGTTATAATGCCAACTTGGGGAGCTCAATTTTTTTCCCCTGGAGGAAATGGTCACTGTATGAATTTAGTTTGTCCAGAGAAACAAGAGAAAGGAGGTGGGGAAGAAGAGAGACTGATTAGAAGAAATTGTTTCAAACAGTTATCGATGTTGGAAAGTCCTGGATCTATAGTCAGCCAGCTGGAGACCCAGGAGAACTATGATGGCTAATCTTGATTGTCAACTGGTCTGAATTTAGAGTCGCCATGGAAACAAAGCTCTGGTTGTGTCTGTGAAAATATTTCCAGAAAGAATTAACTGAGGAGGGAAAACTCATCCTGAATGTGGGTGGAACCATCCTATAGACTGGG